GAAGTCATGGAGAAGCCGAGCCGTGCGTCGAGCTGCCCGGCGGAGCGTCCCGGGAGCCGGTGCGGGAGCCGGTGCGGGAGCCGCGGTGGAGCCGGAGCCGCTGACGCTGTAGGGGCTGTAGTAGCCCTTGCTGGACTGGGCGGCCGCCTCCAGCAGCCGCAGCCCCGTGCCCTCCTCCACCATGCTGCGGTCCAGCGCGTCCTTGTAGGAGATCTTGAGCTTCGTCTTGGGGCAGGTGAGGTACTTGGCGTAGGCGCCCCACGTCCCGCAGTTTCTGGGCCGTGCGGGCGTCCACCGTGCCGCGCTGCAGCGCCTCGTCGAGGGGCACGCGGCCGGGCGTGTCGGGCTCGATCAGGCCGCCCGTCAGGTACTGCACCTCCAGGAAGCGCTGGCCGGCCTCGTAGTACAGCCAGCCCTTCTTCAGGGCCTGGGCGGCCGACATCTTGGTCTTGGTGCGCGGGTCCTCGAAGCCGTGGAAGGCCTTCTGGGCCAGGTTGATGCGGTCCACCATGACCTTGTCCACCAGGCCCTTGCCGACGGCGTCGGCGACGGGGAAGCGCTCGCCGGTGCCGGGGTCGATGATGCCGCCGGTGCAGGCCTGCGCCTCCAGCAGCCGCTGCCCCGTGATGTTGTCCACCAGGTTGCGGTGCATGGCCTCCGTGATGGACACCTTCTCCAGCGTCTCCGTGTCCAGGATGCCGGCCACGGGGCCCGTCTCCTCGGCGGGGTCGGACCAGGAGGCCAGCTGGGTCCGGGAGGCGGCCGGGCTGATGGGGTAGGAAGAGGAGGACCCCACGGAGGACGAGCGGGAGCGGAAGCCGCCGGCGTTGCCCGAGAGCATGTCGGCGAACTCAGTGATGGAGAGCGTGCCGGCCCGGTACTGGTCCAGCACGGAGCGGTCGATGAGGTTCTTGGTGATGGCCTCGTCGATGTCGTACTGGCGGCCGGAGCGGCGGTCGATGATCATGGACTTGACCACGCCGTCCGAGGAGGAGATGGTGATCTCCTCCCACTCGCACTCCTGCTCCGACAGCTCCAGGTAGGTCTGGTGGTCGATGAGGCCCTTGCGGTAGGCCTCGTTCACCGACATCTCCTTGCCCGTCTCGGGGTCCACGATCACCACGCGGCGCTTGCGCACCGAGGACTTGGAGGACGTCTTCCGCTCCCGCTTCTTCTCCTTCAGCGGCAGGAGGCACAGGCCGGTCTGCGGGTCGGGGACGCAGCGCTCCATCAGCTGCAGGTACGTGAGGTTCTCCTCCGTGTTGGGGTCGAAGAAGCCCTTGGTGTCGTCCGAGGGGTCGGTCAGGATCTCGTTCATCTCCTCGTCGAAGAGGCCGCGCTGGTAGGCCACCTCCACGGGCAGCCGGTGGCTCTCCTCGGGGTCGATGATGCCGCCCGTGGCGATCTGGGCCTCCAGCAGGCGGATGCCGTGGTCCTTCAGGATGAGGCCCTTCTTCATGGCCTGGAAGAGGGAGATGAGCTTCCCGGTGTAGGGGTCCCTGTAGCCGGTCACCGCCCGCTCGGCCGACAGCAGCTTGTCCTTGAACTCGGGGCCCACGATGCCCATGCGCACGGCCTCCTCCACGGTCAGCTTGAGCCCCTTGATGGGGTCGATGACGTAGCCGGTGGCCGCCTGGGCCTCCAGGAGCTCGAAGGCCGTGCCCGGGCGGATGATGCCCTTCTTCATGGCCTGGTACACGGACAGCCGCTCCTTGGTGGCGTCGACCAGCACGCCGGCGATGCAGCTGGTGCCCTCGAGGAACTTCTGCAGGGTCTTGGTGACCTCCTCCACGGAGGCCAGGCCCTCCTGCAGCTGCCGCGCCGTGGCCTCGTCCATGACCCGCGAGCGCACCAGCTCCTCCACGGTGATCTGCTTGCGCAGCCCCTGGAAGGTCAGCTTGCGGGCGTCCGAGAGCGGCAGGAGCAGCTGGCCGCTGCCGTCGTCGCGGCGGCAGCGCCGGAGCAGCTGCGTGTAGCTGAGGCGCTCGTCCGTGGAGGGGTCCAGGTAGGCGCGCACCTCGCTGGGCTCCGACAGCCGGTCGTGCGTGTCCTTGTTGAGGTAGCCGCGCTGGTAGGCCACCTCCAGCGGCAGGTGGAAGCCCAGGCGCGGGTCCACGATGCCGCCCGTCGCCAGCTGGGCGTCCAGCAGCCGCAGCGCCTCCTCGGCGGGGATCAGGTCCTTCTTCATGGCCTGGAAGAGCGAGATGGGCTGCTCCGTGTAGGGGTCACGGTAGCCGGTCACGGCCCGCTCGGCCGACAGCAGCCGGTCATGCAGCTCGGGGCCCACCAGCCCCTTCCGCACGGCCTCGTCCACCGTCAGCCGCTCGCCCTTCACGGGGTCCAGCAGGAAGCCCGTGGCCGCCTGGGCCTCCAGCAGCAGCCGGGCCACCTCGGCGCTCAGCAGCCCCTTCTTGAGGGCCTGGTAGACGGTGAGCGTCTGCTGGGAGCCGGGCAGGTACACGCCGGCCACGCAGCCCGTGCCGTAGAGGAAGCGCCAGGCGGACTCGGCCTCGAGCACCTCCCGCAGGCTCTTGGTGCCTTCCCGGAGCAGGCGGCAGGCCTCGCGGGAGATGATGCGCGCCTCGTACAGGTCCTCGGCCGTGAGGCGGCGGCGCACGTAGTCGTAGGAGGCCAGGTTCTGCTGGCGGACGATCTCCGTCTTCTCGATGATCTCGATGATGATGATGATCATACGCTCCTTGGTCACCCGGCCGGCCTGGAAGTCGGCCATCAGCCGGGTCCGCTGATCCTCGGGGATCAGGTCCGACTGCATCACCTCCCACAGCGACATGGTGGAGCCGCCGGGGCCGCCGCCGCCGCCGCCGCCGCCCGGGATTTCAATCTGCGTCTCCTCGAAGGCCTTGCGCGTCTCCTCCTCCGTGTACACCTGTGTGGTCTCCACCACCTCCGCCTTCTCCGCCCCCTTCAGCGGCAGCAGGCGCAGGCCGGTCTCGGGGTCGCGCACGCAGCGCTCCAGCAGCTGCAGGTACGTGAGGTTCTCGTGCGTGTTGGGGTCGAAGAAGCCCTTGGTGTCGTCGCTGGGGTCGGCCAGGACGCGGTTCATCTCCTCGTCGAAGTAGCCGCGCTGGTAGGCCACGTGCACGGGGAGGCGGTGGCTGTGCACGGGGTCGATGATGCCGCCCGTGGCGATCTGGGCCTCCAGCAGGCGGATGCCGTGTTCCCGCACGATCAGGCCCTTCTTCATGGCCTGGAAGAGGGAGATGGTGCTGCCCGAGTAGGGGTCCTTGTAGCCCGTCACGGCCTTCTCGGCCGACAGCAGCCTCTCGTGCAGCTCGGGGCCCACGACGCCCGCCTTCACGGCCTCGTGCACGTACAGCCGCTGGTTCCGCACGGGGTCCACCAGGAAGCCGGTGGCCGCCTGGGCCTCGAGCAGGAGCGTGGCCGTGCTGGGCCTGAGCAGGCCGCGCCGCATGGCCTCGTAGATGGTCACCTTCTCCTTGGAGTCCTCCAGGTAGACGCCGGCGAGGCAGCCGCTGCCCTGGAGGAGCGTCCGCACGGAGTCCACCTCCGACAGGTCCTTGACCGACGTCTTGCCTTCCTGGAGCTGCTCAAACTGGGCCTGGCTGAGCACCCCGGAGGCCAGGAGCTCGCTGGCCAGCACGGGGGCGCGGAGGCCGCTGAAGGAGAGCCGCTCCCTCCGCACCGTCTCCACCTCCTCCACGATGGTGATGACGATCTTGAGGATCTTCTCCACGGTGACCTTGCCCGTGCGGTACTGCTGCAGCAGCTCCCGCCGCTGCTCCTCCGTGAAGTACTCGGAGTGGATGAGCTCCCAGACCGTCACCGTCCGGCCCTGGAAGCTGCCCGCGGGGACCTCGACCGTGGCCTTCTCGAAGGCCTCGCGGGCCTGGAGCTCGGAGTAGAGCTCGTCCTGCCGGGCCCGGGCGGCCTTCTCCGAGAGCGGCAGCAGGCTCAGCCCCGTCAGCGGGTCGGGCCGGCACTGCTGCTGCAGCTGGCCGTAGGTGGCCGGCTCCCGCGTCCGGGGGTCGACGTAGGTCTTGGCCTCGTCCCTGGGCCCCTTCAGCACTTTGCGGGTCTCCTTGTCCAGGAAGCCCCGGGTGTAGGCCACGTCCAGGGGCACGCGGTGGCTCTTGCTGGGGTCCACGATGCCGCCCGTGGACAGCTGGGCGTCCAGCAGACGGAGGCCCTGCTCCCTGGGGATGAGGCCCTTCTTCAGGGCCTGGAACAGGGAGACGCTCTGGCCCGAGTAGGGGTCCTTGTAGCCGGTCACGGCCTTCTCGGCCGACAGCAGCCTCTCGTGCAGCTCGGGCCCCACCAGGCTGGCGCGCACGGCCTCGTCCACGGTCAGCCGGGTGCTGGTGGCGGGGTCGATGATGTGCCCGGTGCCGGCCTGGGCCTCCAGCAGGGCCACGGCCGCCTCCGGCTGCAGCAGGTCCCTCTTCAGGGCCTCGTAGAGGCTCATCTTCTGCCCTGCCTCTTCCAGCCACACGCCCGCGATGACGTCGCTGCCCCGCAGGGCCTGCCGCACGGCGTCCAGCTCCGCCACCTCGCGCACCGAGCGCTCGCCCTGCTGCAGCTGGCGGAGGAGGTCGCGGTTGATGACCCTGCTCTCCAGCAGCTCGGCGGCGGGGACCAGGGCGCGCAGGCCCTCGAAGCACAGCTGTCCCTTCTGCTCGTGCTCCTCGACCACGGTGATGACGATCTTGATGATCTTCTCCACGGTGACCTTGCCCGTGCGGAACTGGCGGAGCAGGTCCCGCCGCTGCTCCGCCGTGAAGTACTCGGAGTTGATGATCTCCCAGATGGTCACCGTCCGGCCCTGGAAGCTGCCGAACGGGGCCGAGATGGTGGCCTTCCTGAACACGTCCCGGGCCTCCGCGTCGGTGTAGACCAGCTCGCCGCCCTTGGCCGCCTGATCGGTGAGCGGCAGCAGGCGCAGGCCGGTCTCGGGGTCCTCCACGCAGCGCTCCAGCAGCTGCAGGTACGTGAGGTTCTCGTGCGTGTTGGGGTCGAAGAAGCCCTTGGTGTCGTCGCTGGGGTCGGCCAGGACGCGGTTCATCTCCTCGTCGAAGTAGCCGTTCTTGTAGGCCACCTCCACGGGCACGCGGTGGCTGTGCACGGGGTCGATGATGCCGCCCGTGGCGATCTGGGCCTCCAGCAGGCGGATGCCGTGGTCCCGCACGATCAGGTCCTTCTTCATGGCCTGGAAGAGGGAGATCTGCTCCCCGGTGTAGGGGTCCTTGTAGCCGGTGACCGCCCGCTCGGCCGACAGCAGCTTGTGGTGCAGCTCGGGGCCCACCAGGCCCTCCTTCACGGCCTCGTTGACCGTCAGCCGCCGGTTGCGCACGGGGTCGATGAGGAAGCCCGAGGCCGCCTGGGCCTCCAGCAGGATGAGGGCGGTGCCCGGGCTCAGCAGCTGCCTCTGCAGGGCCGCGTACACGCTCAGCTTCTCGCGGGCGGGCTCCAGCAGCAGGCCCGCGATGCTGCTGCTGCCCTGCAGGTAGCGGCGCA